GACCGTCCAAAAAAAAAAAAAAAAAAAAAAAAAATGAAGTATACACGGTCGGTTGAGCTCAAACAGAAAGCAATCAATCCTGTCTCAGCCAAGACATTTGATTTCCTTCCCCCCAACCCCCAATATAATATATAGTTGCATTTATTTATTTTTGAAGTTTTAGGATAATTTTATTAAAACCTAAAGTTTTCTTTAGGAAAACTGTGTGTAGTGACACACCTTTAATCCGGGAGGCCATCTTTGCATTCCAGGCCAGCCTGGTCTTGCATAGTGAGTTCTAGGCAAGCCAGAGCTACACAGTAAGACCCTGTCACCAAAAGGAAAAAAAAAAAAGAAAAAAATCTTTAAGGTAGGCAAGCTATAAAACTCATCTGCTGCCTTGAGCCAGAATGGAGGGGAGAAGGAAAATGTCATAAAGCCATGCCTGTTTAGAGCTAGCATAGAGGTCAGACATATGTTGACTAGCAGCCATATGGCAAGCTGGAAAGTGAATTCTTTAGAGGAAATGTAAAGAAACCCAAAATGTTGGGGCAGCCCAGAGCTTTAGGGAAAACATGCTTATAAATAAGAAAAGGAGAGGTTACATTTTCTGAAGAATTAAGGAAAGCAAATAGACGGGGAAAGCTACTTCTCTGTGGCCTCGTCTATTAGCATTGCCTAGTTACTTATTTTTGAAGATACAGTCTCACTAGGTATCCCACGCTGTGTAGGAACTCAAGATCTCTATTTCAGCCTACTGGGTGTTGTGATAACAGGTATATGCCACCATGCCTGGTATTGAGTGTATAGCTTTGTCATACACTAAATAATCTTAAAAGTTAAAATTTTCATGTTAAAACATGTTAAAGGACTGTAGAAAACAAATGCAGTATTGTTTGTATTGAGAATTGTAAATTCACTCTTTCAGGGAACTCCAGCATTGTTCTTAATCCACTTAATTTTCAACAACAATCTTTTGGAATGTGGTGTAGCAGATGAAAGGTAAATTTGTAGTTTAACTTGGTATGTTGTTTTGCTTTTCATTTTTTAGTTGGACAGGGACTCGTGTATTTCAGAATGGCCTGGAATTTGCTGTGTAGCTAGGCTGACATTTTATTTCTGATACTCTTGTCTCTACCTCCCAAGTTCTAGGATTTTAGGTGTGTGTTATTTTCTTTTGAAAGGATTATTATATAATACGATTCTTTTTATTTTATGTGTATCAGTGCCTGCATATATGTAAGTGCCTTAACATGCATGTGTGGTGCCTTTGGAGGCCAGAAGAGGGCACCAGACCACCTGGAACTGGAGTTACAGAAGGTCATGAGCCACCTTGTGGGTGCTGGGACCTGACCAATCTGGACCACAGAGCAAGACATTGTTTCAAAAAAAAAAAAAGATGGACTTGGAATTCATCATTTCTTGTTTCCTTTGGCAGTTACTTTTAGAATTTTGTTAATATGTAATTATCTTTCTGTATGAAATATTTACTGATACATTGTTCATATTTTTTTAGGTTTTTTCTCAATCTGCAAACACTTGTTGGGTGTGTGCTTTCTGGTCCAACTTCACCACTAGCTTTTAGTGAATCTGTACTAAATGTTATTAATCAGAATGCAAAGCAGTTGGAAAACAAGGAGCATCTTTGGAGAATGTGGAGTATTATAGTCACTCCATTAACTGACTTGATTAATCAGGTATGACACAAATCTTCTGTATCTCTGCCACCCAAATTAGAATATTTTCTGATATTTTTATTTTATGTGTATGAGTGTATTGCCTGCATTTGTCATGCAGTGCCCACAGCGGTCAGAAGAGGAGGTTGGATCCCCTGGAACTGGAGTTACAGATGGTTTTTAGGTGTCCTGTGGTTGCTGGGTATCAAACCCAAATCCTCTGCAAGAGCAGCCAGTGCTCTTAACCACTCAGCCACCTCTCCAGCCTGTTTGTTTTTTTGAGACAGGCTTTCCCTCTAGTCCCAGCTGGTGTGGAACTTGCTCTGTAGACCAGGCTGGCTTCTGTCTCAGAGAGCCCTGCCTGTATCTGCCTCCTGAGTGCCGGGATTAAAAGTGTGCTCACCGTGCCCAGCTATTTCATTTTGGTCATTTTCTTTTTTTATTTTATTTATTTTGTGTGTACAAGTGTATTGCTTGCATGTGTGTGAGTGCACCATGTGCAATGCCACGGAGGTCAGAAGAGGGCTTCAGATTCCCTGGAACTGGAGTTAAAGATGATTCGTAGATGCCATGTGGGTGCTGGGAATCAAACCCGGGTCATCTGTAAGAACACTCAGTGTTATTGACCACTGAGCCATCTCCAGCTCCATCATTTTGGTCATTTTGTTTATGAATCAGGATCTTGCTGTGTAGATCAGGACTATGATTCTCCTTGCCTCTGCTCACTTAGTGCTAGAGGTTACAGACTTGTACCACCACGCTAGCCTTTTATTTATTTTTTAAGAGTGCTCAAGATGAACAAAGTATGAATTTTAATAAAATACACTAAATTTTTCATACAGTTAGTAAATTTTCTCTTTGGATTGATTATATGGCTTGTTTCATTCAGTTTTTCTATCAATAAAATGTGATACAGTAGGGACTAAGCTGCTCCATTTTTCTCTAATAGTGATTATAACACATTTTCCATGTGGTAAGTCTTACATTTATTTGGGTCATTTCTTTATTGGTTTTGGTTTGTGTCTGATTTTGTAGCCTAGGCTGGTCTCCAACCTCCTGTGACTTTCATCCTTCAGTCTTCTAACATTTGGATCATTTCAGTTGTACCAAGCAGGGAACAATAAAGATGACCTTTTTTGTTTTGTTTCCCTTTGAAACAAAGACTTTCTCTAGCCCAGGCTGGTTTCATGCCATTCCTTCTCAAACCCTAGGAGTATAAATGTGTGCCACCACACCCAGACAGTAATTACCTTAAGTGGGTTATATGCACTTAAGAATCAGGCCATGGTGTCTCAGCACCAGTTAGCATTCTCAAGAGTTGACTGCTTCTTACATTAAAATATTTATACATTTTGAGTATTGACAGAATGTGGAACACAAGTTCATATTTTTGTTTCTGGTTTATTTTGTGTTATTTTTTGTTTATATTTGAGGCACAAGTTCATTTTTCTTTTGATTCCACATAGCTCATAAAGTGAAGATTCCACAGAATTTTTTACAAAGTAGGTTTCTTAAACTAACACCTTACTAGAAGGAAAATCAATCACATTTCTCAAAGTCTTTCCCTTTTCGAAAAGGTTAGTAAAGGCCTTTCATGAGTCTGTGCCGACTAAAAAAATTCTAGAAATTTTTTCGGGTTTTGTGTTTGGGGTTTGTTTTGAGGCAGAATACCTTTGTAGAAATGAACCCTGGAATTAACTAGCCCAGGTTGGCCTCATAGCAGTCCTCCTGCCTGCTTCAAACTTCCAAATGCTGAGATTACTTGTGTGGAATCCTCCCACACCTACCTTGGGGTTGTTTCAGTACTTAAAACTTAGTTTCGTAGGGTTTTTTTGTTTGCTTCCTAGGTTTTCTGAGAACAGCAAAGTTACACAAATTAGGAATTCAAACAGGAATGTATTTACTTTTTTGTTTTTGTTTTATGGGTGCTAGATTTGCTAGACAAACACTGCCACTGAGCTGTACTTCCAGCTCCAATAATAGGAATTTATGTTCTCAGAGTTCTAGACTAGAAGTCCAAACAAGAACACTGAGAGGACTTTTTCCTTACTGTCAGTGAATAGTGATAGCCAGTAGTCCATGACCTTGATTTGTAGCCACATGACTTCACTGATCTTCCCATGGTGGCCTTCTCTGTATGTCTATCCAAATTTTTCTTCAATTCTTGGGTTTGCTACTAGCCACTGATTAAGACCTCATCTTAATGATTCTGCACACACCTTATTTCCGTCCAAGTAAGATCATATTCAGGTACCAATGGCTAGAAGTACAACATCTCTTGACTACATTCTAGTAGTTGTTTTGTTACATATAGAAAGTTTTGTTACCATGTAGTATTAGAATTAGATGGTAATTTGTCTAATACCATTTTTCTTATTTCAGACCAATGAAGTGAATCAGGGTGATGCCTTAGAACATAATTTTAGTGCCATCTATTGTGCACTGACTTTACCAATAAACAATATTTTTTCAACTCAGACATTTCCCATGGTAAGAGCATAACATGATTTTATGTAATGATTTTGTCTTTCTGAAAATAATGCCATTTCACCTTTTAAAAAAAATTTTTTATTTATTTTTATTTTGTGTGTATATGTCTATTGCCTGTGTTGTAGGTAAGTACACCCGTGTTGTGAAATGCCTGCGGGGGTCTGAAGAGGCTGTTGGATCCCCTGGGACTGGAGTTATGGACAGTTGTTAGCTGCCATGTGGGTGCTGGGATTCGAACCCAGGTCTTCTGCAAGAACAGCCAGTGTTCTTAACCACTTAGCCATCTCTCCGCCCTGCCATTTCACCTTTTATGTATGAGCCACCAACAGTTACTTTTCTTGAAGTAAGACTTCAGGAGGGGAAAGAAACAGTGAAGTGAATCCTCATTTTTTTTTTTTTTTTTTAACCTTTTTTTGTCTTTTGACCTTTGATAGTACTGTTAGCAATTTTTCTTTGTGAACTTTGTTGGGAGTTACAACAAGGTTACCCTGTGCTCTAGTCTCTGGCACCTTGATGTTTCACTGTTTTCAGTCTTAGAATATTGATCATATTAGATGTTTGGCATGTTGGTGCATCTTTATAATTTTTTTGTTGTTATTAGACTGCCACGAAGATGTTACTTAAAACTTGGTCAGAATTATATAGATCATTTGCTCGCTGTGCTGCTCTAGTGGCAACAGCAGAAGAGAATTTGTGCTGTGAAGAACTTTGTTCCAAGATAATGTCCAGTTTGGAAGATGAAGCCCTTTCAGTGAGTGTGTCTCCCTTGTATTCTTTGTTTGTTTGTTTTTTAAGACATTGGTTAAGTAAATGGAGATAACATTTTAAAATTATCATTTACTAATGCTTCTTATTAAGGGACTAGGTTAATAGGGAAAACAGTTTTGTGAAACAATTTCTCTCTGGGGCCTAAGGTCTGATTTTAGGACCATTAAAAATAATGCTCTTGAGAAGTTCACACCTGCTTTCAGGGGTGTCTGTCTTAGCTCCAAGAATCACGTTCTCTCTACCCCTACTATCTAACCTTATATTAAAATACCTTGAATAAATCACAGCTTTCCTTCATAATGGCTAGTCCTGGAATTCTGCTTTGAAACCATGAATCTGGTTTAGGCCTGAGTCCAGGTTCCTGAAAGATTAGGGGAACTCTTCAATCTGCTGGAGGTGACTGCATGGAGTTGTCTCTTTTCCCTTGCTGCTGGCATCTTCCAACCTGCTGTTGTTCCAGGCATTTCTTTTGCTTTCCTCTTTTACCCCCTTTAATTTCTTTTTATTTTATATATGTGAGTATTTTGCCTGCATGTGAGTGTACCCATGTTGTGCAGTGCCCGAGAAGGCCAGAAGAGGATCTCCTGCGACTGGAGTAGCCAGTTGTCTGAACTCTCGAATCATCTCTCCATCCCTTTTTTCCCTTTTTTGGGGGGGGGGGGGCACTCTTTTTGAGACATAGTCTCCCTGTAGCCCCAGCTGTCCTGGAACTCACTATGTGTGGAGGCCAGGCTGGCCTCAACTCACAGAGATCCGCCTGCCTGTGCCTCCCAAGTACTGGGATTAAAGACGTGCACCACCACTCCCAGCCCTTTTTTCCTTTTTAAAAAAATATTTTATTAATTATTTTTATTTTGTGTGTATTTTATCTGTATGAATGTTTTGCCTGCATATATGAAAGTGTACCCCTGTTGTGTATGTGTAATGCCCAAGGATGTCAGAAGAGGGCATCAGATCCCCTGAAACGAGTTACAGAAGGTTGTTAACTGGGTGCTGGGATTTGAACCTGGGTCTTCTGCAAGAGCAGCCAGTGCTCTTAACTGCTATCTCTCTAGCCTCCCTCTTATCCTTTTTCTTTTTCTTTCATTTTTGGTCTTTTTGAGACAGGGTCTCCCTGTAGCTTCAGTTGGCCTGGAGTTTACTGTGTAGACCAGGTTGGCCTTGAACTCACAGAGATCCACCTGCCTTTCTGGGATTAAAGGTGTGTGCCACCACACCTGGCTCTTTTCCTTTTTAAGAAAAAATTTTTTTGTCTTTGTGTGTGTGTGTGTGTGTGTGTGTGTGTGTGTATGTGTGTATGTTTGTGTGTGTACACATTCATTGGGTGCCTGTGGAGGGTAGGAGAGGGTGTTGGAGCCCGTAGAACTGGAGTTACAGATGACTGTTAGCTGCCACGTGGGTTCTGGGAACCAAACCTGGGGCTTCTGTAAGAATAGCCAGTGCTTTTAATGGTTGAGCCATTCTCTGCCCCTTCAGCCAGCCTCTTTCTGCAGCAAATGGACTGGCAATTTCAGTGTGTTCTCTACCACTTGGTTGCTATCTCTGATCTTTGGCATTCTAGGGAACAGGACCAGGCTAGGGCCTGGCATGTGGTCTCCTGGCCCACTTTCAACTTTTCAAGAGCTTACAAAATGTGGGCGGGGGAGGACACCTGCAGGTGGTCTGTTGAGCAGGGAATGAATACAATAGAAAGGGAAGGAGAGAGGAAATGACATTGAGAATGAGGCAGGTTAGCAGATAAGCAAATAGGAAGGCAAAAGCACGGAAGGTTGAGGTCAGGACTCCATGTTGAGTCCCACAGAGAGAATGGAAGATTTGTGACTGGGGCTTGATGCTTCCACATCCATATTGCCATTGAATAAGGGGTCTTAGGAAAGAAGTAGAAGTAGAAAAGCAGAGAATAGGAGAAGAAGCAGGCAGCAGACCAAGCCTGCCTTACTTCAACTTCAAATGGCATGTTGGCCTAATCAGAGTACGTGGGTTTTTGGGACGAGTGAAAGACAATATTCAACTTAAAAACTAAACAAGATAAACAATAAGTTTCTTTTACTATTCTTGTGTGTGTATCTCCCACTGCCTTTGCCATTCCATAACCACAATTCTGAAGCCTTCACTATCCTGGGCCTCTTTATATCTATGCATTAGATCTTTAAAATCAACCTTGGAAATTTGTTGTCTTAAAAGTAGTCTGCTTGGAATCTGTGCCTGGCTTTATCGGTGGGCTTAAACTTACTCATTATGTTCTCTTAGTACATGTGGTAAACTGAGTGTATGAGACTATTGGAGGTGTAGTGCAGCATACTGTTTCACAGTAAATTTTGTCTTTATAAGTGGCCGTATCCTTAGTGAGTCTCGTTCCTCCAGTAACTATCCACTGCCAGTAGCTCCTCTATAAGGAGTGGGACAGGGAGACCATCTACTCCATCTATGTTGGAATTCTGCTGCCTTGGTCTTGTGCAGGTCATGTACAAATGACCTGAGTTGGTGTGAATTCATGAGTAGGATAGCCATCTGGTGTCTAGAACTAGACAGTACCCCACCACAGCAATCTTCCCTGTCCTTTGCTTCTTAACATTCTTCTGTCTCTTCTACAATGTTTCCTGAGCCTTGGTGGTGGGGAGGGGAAGTAATAGATGACTGCTTAGGTTTGAGCACTCAGTTTCCTTTCTCAGCAGTTTGGCTTGTTATACATCTCCCAGTTAATTGCTGTCTACTGCAAAAAGAAGCCTCTCTGACTGGGGTTGAGAGCAGCCCAGGTCTATGAGTATAAACTATATATTTAGAAGGCATTTTAACATTGCCATTTAGCACAATAATATCAGGTTGTACTAGGGCCTGTGTGTCTCCCTGCAGCCATGGACTTTTGACCGGGAGGATTATAGTACCAGGCATGAAATTTCCTTCCTGTGGGGTAGGCCTCAAGTCCAATCAGAAAATAGTTATTTAACCTGTAACAGTTGTGCCAACAAGTAGGCACATCTTACTTGGCAGGTTGGTATTGCAACTTCCAGGGTCCAGTGCTGGGTAAGACCATTGATGTATTTAAAGAAATTTCCCTACTGGTTTAAGATTGGATGTTCCGTGGCAAAATTGCGTGGTATCTGCAATGGGGTCTTACTATATAGTTATGGTAGATAACTCAGGGTAGTGAGTAGCCTGTGTTTTGGAGTTCTCTGCAGCCTCCTTGTAAGGTATACCTTATAAGGAGATATAACATGCCTTGAGCTGTAATTTTCATTTATAACCCATGTCTTCTGAGAGTGACATTTTCCACCCATGGCAGAGTAATTCTGCTTGAACTCTTGGTTTTGTTTTGCTTTAAGTTGTATTTTAAAATTATCTCACTAACTATTGGATTTCCATAAGACTTTTTCTGGATCCCAGGTGTTTATTGACTACTGCTATCTGCTTTCCCTCATCCCTTCATTCCTATCCCAGCTTAATTCTCTGACCCTCACTATTCCCCTCTTCTTTCATATCATGTGTATTCTACTCTCCCTCTACTTATTTTTTGTTTTTTGTCTTTTTGAGACAGGGTCTCCTTGTAGCCCCAGCTGTCCTCGAACTCACTGTGTAGACCAGGCTGGCCTTGAACTCACAAAGATCTGCCTGCCTCTGCCTCCCAAGTGCTGGGATTAAAGGCCTGTGCCACCACACCTGGCCTCCTCCACTTATTTTTTAAAGTTGGATTATGAGATAGCCTTCAGTATGGCCTTTCATGTGTCCTTCCTTTGGGTTAGCCCTCTCTTTCACCTGATTTCCCCTGTACTCCTTTGCCCCTCTCTCTCTACTTAAGCCTTTCTATTCCTAGTATTCCATCTTATTTTTCTTTAAAACTGGGTAATAGTCCATTGCATATATATACTGAATTTTTCTTAACCATTTTTCTGCTCATGAGCATCAAATCTAGAGTGATTGCATTTTCTAGCTATTGTGAGTGTTCAATAATGAGCATGGTTGTGCAGGTGTCTCTAGTAGGATATAAAGTCCATTGGGTATATGCCCAGTAGTGATGTAGCTAGGTCCTATGAGTTCTGTTTGTAGTTTTTGGAGAAACCTCCAGACTACTTTTCAAAGTGAAAACACTAGTTTATACTCTTCACCAACAGTGTATAAGAGTTCACTTTGGGGGCTGAGGAGATGGCTCAGTGATTAAGAGTACCTACTACTCTTGTAAAGGACCCAATTTCAGTTCCCAGCACCCACATTGGGCAGATTACACCTGCCTATCACTCCAGCCGAGCTCCTTAGGATCCTGCATCCTCTTCTCATTTCGGCATGTAAGCATATACATAGACAGAAATAAAATAAATCTTGAGTTATCACTACCGTATCTACGCCAGCTTTTGTTATTTGTATTCCTGATAATGGCCTTTCTGACCTGGAGTGAGACAGAATCTTTTGTTTGTTCTGTTTTGTTTTTGAGACAGGGTCTTCTGTAGTCCCAGCTAGCCTGGAGCTAGCTATGTAGACCAGACTGATCTGGATCTCACCTAGATCCTCCTGCCCCTCCCTGTCTCTGTAGTTCTGGGATTTAAAGCATGGGCCACCACACCCACTTTTAGATGGAATCTTAAAATAGTTTTAATTTGCATTTCTCTGATAGCTGAGGATATTGAGCCCTTAAATGTTTCCTAGCCATTTGCATTTCCTTTGGGAATTTTCTGTACAGTTCTATAGCCTATTTAAAAACATTTTTTTTAATTGTTATTTAGGGCTTTTTAATTTTTTTTTTTATCTTGTGTGTATGAGGGTTTTGCATGTATGTAAGTAACACCATGTGCATGTAAATGCCCTGCAGAGGCCAGTAAAAGGTGTCGGATCCCTTGGAATTGGAGTTAAGGATGGTGGTTAGCCACTATGTAGGTGCTAGTAATTGAACCTGGGTCTTCTGGAAGAACAGCAAGTGTTCTTACCTGCTGAGCCATTTCTCCACCCCCTTTTTTAGTTCTTTACTCTAGACATTAATCCTCTGTTGGATGA